TCTGAAATTACTTGGAATAACTGATACATCTGTTCCAATGAAGTTGCATAGGCTTTATTTAAAAACTTGTATATGGCTTACTTCGGGATTGACTTAAGCTGGGTCTGTGTTATTCTGCAGGGGAAACTTTCCTCTCCTGACCTGGCTTATAACTGCAGTGTTAGCTGGAGCCAGCAGGAGAGCTTCCACTTTCCTACAGCTCTGCTGTAATGTTCATGGTACAATGAAGGGTGGTTAGGATTAGTTTACTGCACTACATCACTGCTTCCACAAGTTTGGTGGTGTAAAGGGACAGGTCTAGGAAGATGATTATAACTTCACGGGTTTGGTTAACATGCCAAAAAAGGCTGGGAGAGGTTTCCAGCAATTGTCTGGTTAGATGAATATTGCTGTATTTTCATTCTGTGTTAAAAAACTGTTTTGTTGAATATATTTCAGAGTGTTTGCATCTGATGAGTAAAGCTTTGACAAGTTTGTGGTGGTCATGGTTTTCATCCATAGAGAAATGTTTTAAACAAGAAAATTATTTCTCTGAGGCAGTTACATTTATCAGACCTGAGATTTTCAGAATGTCCTAGAAGTTATTCCACGGTTTTGTCAGGTGCATTTTCTTTCAGGAAAAAATTAATTGGGTGTTGCTGGTATCTTTAAAACTGGATGCAATATCCAGTTACACTGAGTGGGGTGGTTTTTTTCCTGCCCTAACATGTGGCTTCCTTTACCATAATTAAATGAACTAATAATGGCTGTGGTTTATCTTATCTGATTAAAATAGAACTCTGGAAGTAGAACAGAGCACTTAGCTCTGGGAAATCAAGTGGATTTGTTTGTCTATGTATAAGATACTGCATTTGTGTTCTAGATTTAAAATATAATTGCAGAATCCCATGGACTCAGGTCAGCAGCATCTGTTGTTTTTAATTTCCAACGTTGAGTAAAGACGTAAAATTTACATTCTGTAATCTTGCTAAACCTTGTTAAAGATAATCAACAAGTAGAACAGTATTTCCACACCTTAGAACCCGAATCCAGTTGAATGCAGTATTTGATTTTTAAGCAGCCCAGAAATTAACTCTTTGAAATGTATCTTCTCTCATTCAGCAAGTGTAAGTACAGCAATGGATATCTTCAGCTCTTTTCCACCATAGCCACAAGCGTGCAATCAAATGCTTGCAATCAGCTGAGGAAGAGGACTGTTAATAAATGTTTACACTTTCAGTGTATATGTATGTAAGTTTAAAAGGTCTGCTGAGTTGGTTGTTAAAAAACAGCTTAAGAGAGTTTTGCGTGTCAAAGTTAGAATGGTGGTAAATAACCAGAACAAGATGTACTGAAACTTACATTGCTGTGCTGGTGTTTTTTAAAGCTGTGAGGTATGCAGGGATTGCTGGGATTTTCTTTGGTTGGTTTTTTTCAGTTGCAATATAATATATACCTTAAAGGTACCTTAAAGATACAAAATACAAAGATACATAAATTCAGGGTCGGGCTGGGCCAGCCTGTAGGCAGCGCTGCGTGGCTCTAGTCTGGTGTTGGACATAAGTGGGGACATGCTTGGGTGATTTGAAACGCCGGCAGATCAGGCTTGGATCTGCCTGCCGTAGCTCTCTGTTAAACATATTTCAGATTTCTGAAAGTGAAATTTCAGTCTTCCACTGCTGTCTGTGTTTCCTGGGTCTTGTAGCAGCAGCACTCACCAACCGTTTCTGCGTTGCAGTAGGCCGGGCTGTGGAAAGCCTGTGTGCTGGCAGCACAGGGTCTTTCCCTCTCCTGCTCAGGTCTCACAAGGCAGACAAGACCTTGATGCACCTGTACAAAACTTGCTGAGCACAGACCCTGTCTGCTGGCCTTTCTTCTGATGGATGTTTAGAATTTTTTGTAATCCTTTCCATTTGTTCAACATAGGAGCTGGTGCTTTAAATTAATTGCATATTAACCTGTGTAGTGCTGCCACTGCTTCCATTATAAGCATTTGGCAGTGCGTTATAACCTCACATGAACAAGGAACGGAGGGAGGACTGTGTTGCTCTATGGAAGGTTTTATTCTGTATAATTCAGGCTAATGGGTTGCGTTTGAAGGTGGTCATTCCTGGCCTGTGTGGAGTGGATACTGCACCCGCTCCTGGGTTTTTCCTCAGTTCCTGGAGTGACTTTTATAATTCCTGAGGTGTAACCATGAATTAGATTTTTTTTTTAACCCTATTTCAAGCTTACTTTGCTTATTTTATGAAGGAAGCATTTAAAAGATGGTTTATGTTTTCAAGATTTGGAGTTTACATTCCAATTTTGTTGAAGGATAGGGCATTTACATGGAATTTATATGATTTTATACATGTTTGAGTGAGACACAATGAGGAATTTCCATACTGTGTTTTGAATGTGTAAAAGAAAGGAACAAATGTCCCTTAGCTTCCTTGTCTAATGACAACATTAAAGTTAATGTGTGCTGTAAATACACAATATATGAAGCTTGATGTAACACTAAACATCTCTCTTACAGGAGGCTTTTTTTTTTCCTTAGTATTTTCTATAACATGAAAACTAGAATATATAGTGCGGATATACTTGAGGAAAGGATGTTTCTGATTTAAGGGAAGACACTTCTATGTGTGCTTTTGTAAAAAAATATGAATAATAGGATAAAGAAGTATATTCTCAGCTTTAATGTTTTATAATTTGGAGAAATTTAAGGAACTTATGTGACAGAAAACAGAACGTATGTGAAGAGGGGAGTTGTAGAGAATTTTGAAAATAATGACAAAAATTTTAAAAATTATGATGTATCAGGTAGGCACCAATGCAATTGAGATGTCTTTAGAGAGTAACGGCTTTTTTTTATGAATCTGAAAATATTGCTGTTGTCTGAGAGCACTCCTTTTTTTTTTTTTAATTAGCTACATTATCTAGAGATGAAATATTTTTCATTGTTATGCAATTGTATAAATTGGAATATATAATTGGAAGACTAGGATTTAAGAGATTAACACAAAGTCTATCTAAAAGGGAATTTAATTCTGGATTTTTAATGGACTTGTCACAATCAAGTTAGCAAAATGGTCTTATCTGTCAGTAGGAACACAAATGGGAATAGAGGTGGACACTAGATTTACTCTGTCAGTCACAGGGCAGA